TATGCAGATAATAAATTCAGCTTTGGAGATGAGAAATTAAATTTAATTTTAGTATTCAAAAGGAATTTAAATATCAGACTATTTGTTTTTGAGTCATCTTAGGTATTTGCAATATTTAAGATAAAAATCTTTATTTTTGAAATAGCAAATGATACGTGTGTCAGTTATTTGGGGGTTAATATTTGTATATCTATTCTTTATAAGCATTGCTGAGTTTATTCTTTTTTTATTGAACTTTATATCCTTCATGCCTTATAGCTCTGTCTCATAAAATCTTCTGTCATCTATTCCCAGGTAAATATTATCCTGTGTACCATTACACACTTTTATGATTTTTTTTCTGCATGAAACAGTGATTTTTGATGTATTTCTGCTCTCATTTCATGCTATCTAAGCCTCTATAATTCAATTGCATACTTTAATCACAGTGTTACCATGAGAGGATAAATTTTCTGTGGTTTATTTAAACTACATTTTCATTTTGCTGTTGTTACTCTCAGGGGTCTAGAAGGCTACAGCTGACACTGAAAGGAAAGGTGATCTAGCATAGGCAAAGTTGCACAGTAATTAAATTTTTTTTGTTTTTTTTTTTTCTGGTTTACCACTACCATCTCAGAATAACCTGTATCAGCCATTGTAGGAATTCCAATGACAATTGCACATGTCTGCAACATTTTAAACACAGGTTTGACTTAAAAAGGAGGAATCTGTTGTAGGGGAACTGAAGACGTGGTTTTAAATGATTTCAATGTTGCCTCACAGCAGGGTTAGGGTTCTGAGAAAACTGTATAGTACTGACTTTTCCTGACTTCCAGGAACTAAAGTTTCTAAACAGAATGTCTTTTGAGCAGCATATTGCATGATGTAATGCCCAGAACAATGCAGATAAAGAAATATTCCCCCCATGTTGTGGGAAACAATACAGGAGGGATGTTCAGAAAACTGCTATTTTTTTTTCCTGCTGAAAAAGTGAATGTGAATACTTAAAAAAATAAGGCATATAGTAGCCATGTCTCATCAACTTCAGAACTTAAGTTGAGCACTCTCCTTTGCAGTGTAACAACTTACAGATTTCAATGTTTTAGCAAGGGGGTTTTGGACTGGTCTTAGAAAAGAGCCTATCTTCAGGATCTTTTTTCCTTTTTTCATTTTTTCACAAGTAAACATTATTTGTGATTAAAGCAGCAGAGTGGGATGGAATTATGAGAACCCCAACATTGAAATAACCCATAGTCTTATGGGCAATTAGAGGAAATGACTACAAATTTCAGAGGCACTCAAATTCTTAAGAGTGGTGAATTAGATTTTCATACTTATTAGTTTGGTCATTGAAACGTTACATCAAACCACTTTTTTATTCCTTGTAAATTAATGGGCTTCCAAAGCTTTACACCAGCAACAATTTTCTACTTGCAGCTTGTTGGGTAAACTCTAGTTTTATGTAACTACAAAATGGTTGAGCTGAATAGCAGCTGGAGGTAAAGTTTAGAAAGCCAGGTGAAAGTTGGTGCACTGGCATACTGTGCATTATGTGGTCACCATTAAGATTCCAGGACTTAAGAGCACACTGTTATAATTTGCAAAAATTAAGTGGCCAAGCCTGGCAATGAAAACAGGGGATGAAGTAACTGAAACTGGTTGCTAAGCTATGAAAAGGCTTTTGCTAACAGGTATATATGAATGGAGGGCATAAATAGCAGCATCTTTGATATACTAAAGCTACTAATTTCATTATTGCTTGTTAGCAGAAGCAATGCAGGTTGTCTTCATAAAAAATATGCTTGCTCATGGCTAAAGGGTGACTTTCTAGTGAAAATGACTTCTTGGCACTTTCTACTGTTTATAGCCCCCTAAAGGCTGTTTCTTAAATACAATAGAATGCCTTTGGTTTTGTTTTTAAGGGACAGAATATCCTTTTATGCTAGGAATCTTGAGTGCTTAGTTTGCAGATGTTATTTTAATTTACTTTTTAAGCAAACACAGCACATAGAACTAAATCAGATTATGTCTTTAGATATATATATATTTTAAAAGCTGATAATTTAAGCAGTATTATTGAAGGATAGCTATTTGGGAAATTGCTTCAGTCAACTTGCAGTTCTTCAAATCAAAAAATAAAGGCAAAATTAAGCTTCACAAAAAAAAAAAAAGCAGTTCTAGAAACTCAGAAGGTCCCTCAATATGTAATGTTACCAGCTAATTTATTTTTCTTAGTTTTTCACAGGTGAATCAAACATAATCAGCAAATTCTTCTCTGTAGAACACAGAATTAGAATTGATCAGGTCTGTATTATTAAAATGAGTGAATCATGGTACTGCCTAAAGTTATGGGAAACTACTTCTCTTTCATGCTAATTAACATAGCATCTGTCCCCTCACCTCTCTTCATGAACAAAATTTACTTTAAACATCAATTTGTTCCAGATATGTGCATACTATGTCCATTATACTTTTAAAATTATGAAATATAATAGATGCTTCCCACTTCTTCTGGGAGGGGAAAACAATAAAACCTTTATAATGACATAAGGAACCCTCATTACAAAGGCTTAAGAGAACCTAAAATAGAAAGATTTTTTTGAGAACTCTAGAATCTCATAGAAGTTCTTCAAAGCTAAGTATGTTTTCTAATTGCAATTAAGTGTCTCTATTAGAAAGGCAAAACAGCTGTGTCATACCAGGCTCCATTTTTCTCTCTCTCTTTGTTTGATTATATTGTTTTGGAGGGTTTTTGCTTGGTTGGTTTTATGATTTTGTTTTGGTTTTTGTTTTGTTTTGTTTGTTTTTTGTTTATTTGGGAGAGTTTTGGATTTTTTTTTGTTGTTTTAAGGGGAAGATTTTGCTGACGTCCATTTCCATCACACATAATTATTTACTTGGCAAGATGAATGCCATCACTAAGATCATCCCTCACTTCCTTCTTCTTCCCCCATATTACATGCTGAGCAGGATACCATACGGTGAGGAATAGCCCTTGGGTCAGTTGGGGTCAGCTGTCCCAGCTGTGCCCCCTCCCAGCTTCTTGTACACTCCAGACTCCTTGCTGGTGGGGTGAGGAGCAGGAAAGGCTTTGGCTCTGTAAGCACTGCTCAGCAATAACTAAAGCATCCCTGAATTGCCAACACTTTGCAACAAATCCAAAGTATAGCCCCATACTAGATATTGTGAAGAAAATTATCTCTACACCAAGAAAAACCTGTATAATTCCTTCCTACATTTTCTCTGGAAAAAGAAAGTAACTTGAAACCTAAGAGATCAAAGGGAGTCACCTACGAAAGGGACTTCCATTTTGCAAGCTGGTTAATCTTGCAAATTGGTTAATTGTATGTGCAAGCAGGTATTCACTAATTGGATGCTCAATTAGCCATTTTTCTCAAACAATGGACAATTGTGTATATAAAATTAAAGGTTTTATGGGCAGCTAACTCTTCCCCTGGTAATGAGATTAAGCAGAGACCATCTTAAAAGACATCATCAACATTTCAAGGCTTTAGAGAAGTCAAGGGGAATGAAATTCTCTTATGAATAAGCACTGTGTAGTGTTGCCTAACAATTAAAGTATATACGTGGTAATATTAATATCAGAAAGCAGCAGAACCCAATATAAATGATAATTAGGAGGAATGACAGCTCTGCAAAAAGGAGCGATAGCATCATTAGTGCCACTAGGGGCTTTGTGAAGCAAACTCTTGGCTGTGCAGCTATAGAGCAGGGAAGGGGGTGGGGAACAACAGCTTTTGATCAGGCCAGATAGTTCTCTGGAAATTCAAACCATTGCCTAGACAGATTGCAATAATTTTCTCATTTTCAGAAGGGTTTACATATGGCTTTTCAATATGTTTTCAGTCAGACATAAGTGCTTTTTGAAAATAGGACTTAAACTTGATTCCTGAGCTTTTCTTTGCCTTCTCTCCATATTGTTTAGGACAATTACTCTAGAGCTACAAACTGATAGCCCTGAAGGCTTTTAAAAATTCAACCTAAAATATAATGAACTATGCTTTATGGAGTAGAAGATAGGATTACATATTTAATGTTTCTCTCTTCCTGTCACCTGAGGATTTTGTCTGCTTTGTGAGGTTTGATATGAGTTTTATCTACATTCATAAACTACTTCCTAAGCTCGGAGGTAAATCTAAGAAGGGAAAAATAAGAAAAAACAACATATGAAGTTGAATATTGTTGTTACCTTCTAGCCAATACCATGCTTATAATTTTAAACTACATCAAAGGTGAAGAAAAGTTTTAAGTTATTTTATTTAGAGTATATAATGGCCAATAGTAATTTCATTTTATAAAAAAAAATAGGAGAAACAATTACATAATGTTCTGCATACCTCAGAGCCTATAAAGATGATTCTGGTTGGGTTTATCAGTCATGTGAGTAGATGATGTGCCTCCAGTGGAATAAAAGCCTGTAACTGAGGTCTTAAATCCCAGAAGCTCCCAGGTACTGAAACAATTTTCTGCTTTGATTCTGCTTCCTCTCTCTCATCTTCCCCTCCCCTCTTCCCTCTGTTTTTCCTGTGTGGTTGATTACTGTTCAGTTTTGGGTAGGTTAGAAGCTGTGCAGAAAGCAAGGCTTGTCCCAAGTCCCATCCAATCTAGGAGTTTTGTAACCTTCTGAGTTCAGGTTTTGGTTTTATTTTTATTGTCTGGAAAACACCAACACTACAAAAAATCTCAGACTCTAGTTTTTAAAGTCTTGACCCTTACACTGGACAATAATTAAGTTTCTCAATGCAGAGTTTATAGCTCAGAAATTAAATTTCTATTATTAGTTTGATTATAAATATCTGTGTGGCTTATTAGCCAATATTTCTGGCTTTCAGATATGCAAATATATTTACATGAGCTGACTGAAGTGACTAGAACCAAGCCTGACATGACAGGTGAGAGAATAGCCAGATTTTGGTCTAGAATTGGTGAAGCAAACAAAAGGATCACAGAATATTCTGAATCAGAAAGGACCCACAAGGATCACTGAGTCCTTAAGTGAATGACCCATATGGGGATTGACCCCAGAACCTTGGTGTCATTAGCACCACGCTCTGACACTGAGCCAATCTCAGGGCATATCAGACATGGCAGCAAAGAAATAATATCCTCATTAAATCTACAGGAAACTTGGCTTTGAATCTCAAGGATGAGAGGCTGTCTATTACTTATGTTTTATAAATCTCTTTTTTGACACTTTTACTCCATTTTAGATAATGCTACTGATTTCAGTTGTAGTGCTTGTGAACAGAATTTTGTGTGGGATAAGGCAGATGAGTTATTCCTGTCTTTTCTCTTTAGCTACACCTATCCATCTTGTGACCTTATTGCCTCGTTTAAAAACAAACAAACCCAACTCTGATCGAATAAAATCTGAAAATAAACCCCCAAAAAAACAAAAATGAAAAAAACCAAAACCAATCCACCAACCCTCAAATATTTCTATATTCAGAGAAGGAAAATTCCCTAAGGTTTCAGAAGACCCAGTCATAAGAATAGACATGTACAGCTATTATTTCCCCAAAGGGATTTTAGGAGATACAAACATAGCTCTGCAACCATTTCTGCTGGGCAGTTTTTATTATGATTTATCTTCTTCTGGTAATGCCTCTGTGATACTAGCTTAAAGCATGACAGTACTCTCTGTATGACAGTAAAATGTCTCTGAAGACTACCGCCCAAAATGCTTCTATTTCTACATAGTCTAAAAAATGTGCTAAATACTCCATATCCACATTTCTAAAATAATCCTTTATGGGCCATTCTGCACCATGACAGTTTATGCTGTATCACTGATCAAGTCAGCTTATACAATGCGACGTATTTTCTGAGGTCTTGGAATAATGCTTTATTGAAAAATTACAAAATTAGTATTTATGCCTGGTATGCAATATTGCAGTCTACTAGAAAATTGTCATCTTTTGTAAAAAAGGTATTATCACATTAAAACTGATAATAAAGTGCAAATGGAAAACTCACTGGGGAAAAGAATTCCTATTTGACAGATACACCATCTCTTGATTGTGTCCCTTGGAATAATGAGCCATTTTTCTTAGCCAAAATCACAGTGAGGTGTGGTCTGCATTTGGCCATTCTTGAGCAATCCAACACAAGAGAGGACATATGAAGTTTAAAATTTAAAAATTGTGTTGTTTATATTGTAGTGCATTAAAAAATGACCTCTCCAGTGGTCATGATCAGTTCATATGTCTTAGTGATAGGATGACTTGGGACCTGCTTTTAACTCATAACCCATAAATGTTTATGTTGTCAGACCAGATGCAATAAATTTTTATGTAAAGCATGCTACTTATATAGCATCTGCATAGGCATTGCTCCACTTGAAAAAAATCAGTCTAACTTTATGGCTAAACATTGAAAGAAATTAAAACCTACATGAAGTTTTCTCACCACGTCTACTCCCAGGGCCAAATAGCATGATCTTACTCCATATAGCTATAGTAAGTGGATTCCTTTGAAAGAAAAGTAGCTCATTGAAAAGGCTCACTGAGTGATGTTACATTTCTTCTTACTGATGAACTAGCAATTTTTTGCCAGGACATTGAAGGATGCTTTTGGGGATACATTTTTAGCTCTCTACAGGCAAATTTGGGAAAATTTTAGTCAGTCTACTTCAACAAGACTGGATTTTTACAGTTCCTGACTTAGCTTTGAATAGTGTCCTTTCTGTCTTTGATATGTGGCCCTTTGTAGTAGATTCAAGCCTTGTTCATTCTGTCAAAATTTCAGTTATGCTATATGTCTTGAAATGGGATTAGCCACATCTTTCCTAAGGGATGATGAGAGTAATGAGCAATTAGTTCACAGAGGACCAGCTTTTCATATAAATTTCTTCCTTCTATATATATTCTGCTTTTGCTAACAGAAATTGACCTTTATTTTTCAGATTTCCAGCTCCCTGGAGTTTCTCTAGTCTCCAAACTATACTGAAAAAAAAGAGCAATGAAAAGAGAATGTTTCAGTAAATTATTCTTTGCCAGTTTAATGCCAATGTAAACATAAAACTGGCAAAAAAATTTCTCTATTTAGTAGTTAACTAATGTTAAGAAGGTTCATTATTATTAAATAAAGGTGATATACAACTGGCGTTTTATACAGGCATTACAAATGTAGTAAAGTTGTGTGATAAAGGTTCCTGTCTGGTTTTATAATGCTAAAGTTGACATGCTTTTGTTTGTTATATATTAAATGTACAGTGAATGATAGAGCTTCAACTTTCCATGTAAGTAATTGTGAAAGAAGAGCAGGAAGTCCAGTGCAGAGTGTGTTCTGGGAGTGTGAATCCAGGAGCAGAAGATTCTCCTCATACTGGTACCTTCAGCATAAAGCAAGGGAGAGATGAGTTAAAATACATTAACTTGGGATGAAACAATCTATTTTCTTCCCCTTGTGGAATATAGACAATCAGGGATACATATGCCTTTGAAAAAATACATTGAAATCTTCATGAAATGAATAACATTGATAGTAGAGGCAGGGCAGACTTTGAGCTGTCCCATCTCATGGCTGACAACTGACATTCCTAAGAGTCTCCTGCAGCAGCTGTGTGCCATCCTTTCCTGTTTATAGGAATGTACTCAAAATACATTGCTGCGAGAGACAGCATGATAATAAAATTTCCTTCAAGAGACCAAATATGCTTATTGGCATGTCAAGCACAGAGGATCACAGATACAAATTGAAGTGGATGTTCCTCACTTTATTTCCTCTTTCAATTTCTTAAAATGTCAGTGTTGGAATGGTTCTATTAACCTCATTGATATGACTAAAATTTTCATTGCTTGTTGCATAAAGATTTTAGCAGCAAGGCTTGGAGGCCTTAGGCAGAATAAATTTACCTCAGAAGGTAAATCCTCATGGGGATAAAAAAAAAAAATTATATAGTTCTGTTCTGAAACGTTTTCTTCCTACACTTACATAAATGTTGTTCTCAGATCCCAGCAGCACCTTTGTGCACCCCATTACTCTCTGCCCTTTCATATTGCCTGGCAATCCGATTTCAGGACCTTCTTTATCCCTTTCCTGCCTGGTGTCTCCAGTTTTCCTTCCTGTCACTACAAAGCTTTCCATATTTCTTACTCTTGATAGCTGGAAATATTTATTGCTCTGATCATTGTTGCTGGAGTTAGTGGTAGGTATAAAATATCATGCTATCTTTCTTGATAGCTGATTCAAATATCAGTTCTCCTAAGGCAAAACTTTATGGCAGGGCAGGACTTTCCTCAATGACTGATTTATATTCCAGTACTTTCAAGTATTCAGTTTTTAGGGAATACACAGGAAAATGGATTTGAACAGAAATATCCAATTCCTGTTTTCATTCGAGTATGTTTTTTATAATTATTTCTAGTAGATCAAATGTGCTGCTAACCATTCAAGTGATGTCCTAGGAAATCGATCAGAAACCTTTTCAAAGATGCTAATTTGTTAGGAAAACTAAGAGATGGAATGTTTCCCAGTTTGTGTATTTCAGATACGATAAAAGACATCTTTGTGAAGCAATACCAGAGACATCCATAAATGGAAAAACAAGCACTATTTCATGTTTCATTTGTTTTAGGACATGTGGCCAAAATACCAAGGGAATGCCTTCAAACTGCCCTATTGCTTACACTTGTGAGGCGAGTGCTGAGCTGCATGTTAGGCATGGACGATGTAAATCTGTCTGTGCTTCACCATTGTTTTGCCTTAAATGCTTTTTCTATGAACACAGGTGTAGTTGTGTGTGTTGTCTGTGTCCACGTGGTGCTAGAAAATTAAAGCTTTATAGACTGAAGAGGAATGCCAATTAGAGTCTGCTGTGCTGGTGATTTTTTGAGTAGACTTCTGCCCACTGGAATAACTAATTAATGTCACATAAGGCATAGGATATATAAAATAGTGACAACTCTGTCAATTTATCACAGCTTTGTTGAACAGAGGCAGGAGCTTCTTTACTGCACTCTGATTTGTTGGATGGTTTAGTTCCTTGATTATGAACATGTATTTTCTGTTACCAAGTCTCTCAGATGGTTTTTCACCATTTACTTTTTGCACGATTATAAAACTTTTGAAAGGTTTCAGAAGTTCTCAACAGATTTAAGAAGGTATTTCTTTAAAGTATTACAGAACACTTCAGCCAATTTCTTTTCAGTTCTCATCTTTGGTTTGCTCTAAAGGGTCTGAAAAAAACCACACAACACAAATTATGAGCACACCTTGCAAGTCTGATATATTGGTTCAGAATGTGATGGTGATTCTGCATCCTAACAGAATATTACATTTCAGGTGTAGCTGCTTGTTTCTAGTGTGAAATGAGGATTCTTTCAAACAAGAATGTCTGTATCCATGAATCCTAAGATTATTTACTTTATATGTATTTTTATAAGGTATATATATGTGTATATATAGGGAAAGAGCACATAATTTATGCAGTGAAAAAAATAGAGAATAGGTTAAAATACAAATAGTGTTAAGGAGCATACTGGCAAACATGTGAAATAGTTTAAGATGAATACAATGAGTAGAAATCCTAGTTTTCTCTTTTGCTGAGATGGAGGACAAACTAGAGCTTTTGTGAATGAAAGGCAAAAGAATTTCAACCCAGGTTACTCTTTTTGCCTGTTGTTCCCTTTCTCAGCCTCTCTCTGTGCTACTGCCCCTGACAGATTCATTTCATGGCCTATCTCAGAACAAGCCCTGTGCCTGTGCACAGGCCACATGCATAAAAACATTATTAGTTTTCAAATATAGCTAAGAAACTTCATCTCAGGCAAAAGTCATTATGGTCAGAGCAAAAACCTAATATTTGCTATTAAACATTTCTTTAGGTAAGGCTTGGAAAACTCAGTCTGCTCTTAGGTAGTGCTGATACCCTAAAAGTTACCACATGACAAACTTGTATGGCCAAATGGAATAGAAATTATTTTGACCTTTATCTTTGCCCTTTCAAGTAGAAATAGGAACTTAGGATGAAGCTTTACTTTCACCATGCTGTTTTTTGTAGGAATTGTCATGAATACCCCATTTAGAAGAGGGATGAGTCATTTTGACTATCCATTTTTAATACTCTGAGAGA